CGATATATATTAATATATTAATAAAATAAAATATTTTAATCTAAATAAAACCTTTCGGTTCTGAACTAAAKAGTGTTAAAATGGTTCACCAAAAGGTTTTATACTTCTATCCCATATCTTCATATCTATCATAATATTATAATAATATCATAGCCTAATATTCTTATTTAAGTATTGTAAATTTATTAACAAAATGAAAAAAATACATAATAGGTAGTTCAATCTTATTTCGACTTTTTTTTTGAACATGTCACATCGACTCTTTTGAAACCAATATTTTTTTTTCATAAAACRTAAATTTAAATTAGAACATTAAAGTTCTAACTAAGGTAAAAAAAATATTCATAGCTAAATGATTTTTATCTAAAAAATTTTAAACTACCGTCTTTTTCGTCATGTTTTAATTGTAACAACACCAAATCAAAATACTTCACGTAATACAGCTTCATTAATTTTTTTATTTAACAATCGTTATAACTATACTATGTTACAGAGGAATATATTTCAGTTTAATACTGCGCTTCTGGACAATCTGATATTTTGAGATAGAACCTTTTGATTCTGAGCCCATGATATATCAAATATTGTGTGTTAATGAAAATAATATTATAACTAGAATGGATTAGCAGCTGTGGGAGTGTTCATCGTTGTTGGAATTGTCAACGAGTATATGACAATAGCTGCCTTTTTTTTAGCTTTTATATTTTACAAAATAATGATGTATTATTTATTATTATCACGGAGTATTAAACGGTTGGAAGGAATTAGTAAGTAACGAAATTAAAGTATAAACTATAAAATATTTGTATATAAGTTACAGTCAGTTTTAAATAAATATAGCACGAAGCCCTGTATTCACACATTTGAATGCAACTTTACAAGGTTTAACAACAATAAGGGCCTTTGAAGCAGAACAAATATTGACCAAGGAATTTGACTTCCACCAAGTTAGTGGACATTAAATTTTACTCAAATATCGAGCTTATCATATTTTTTTCAAATATCAAATAATTTTCTTTTCATTAATACGCACCAAGTTATTGGACTAGTATTACACTTCCTTTATACCAATAATTATTTAAATTAAATCTAAAAAGTAKTAAACAATTAGTCATTGATGTAGTTAGACATAGCTAGATACTTATACTTAATATACTTATAATATATTTTTAATCTATGTCGCTTCATATCGTGTTTAAATATTAYAGGACTTACATTCTTCAGCTTGGTATTTATTTATTGCATTAAGTAGAGGTTTTGCATTTTGGTTAGACATTATTTGTCTTGTATACGTAAGCGCAGTTACATTCAGTTTCGTCCAAATTGGCAATGGTAATTATTAGTTAAAAAATAATTTTGTCTGATTGTAATATTCACTAATTGGTGATCGTAATACAGGCGTATTTATTGGAAATGTTGGCCTTGCCATTTCTCAAGCGTTTGCGTTACAAGGAATGCTTCAATGGGGGATGAGACAAACGGCAGAATTAGAGAACAATATGACAGCAGTTGAAAGAGTCCTAGAGTATACAAATGTTACACAGGAAGATGAGCATGAATCAACAGGTTGTGTTATTTAATTCATAAGTTATTTGCTATTTGTCTAACATGTGGACATASAAATCGTACCAAAATTGCCAATAACTATAGTAATAAGTAATATTTAATAACAATATTTTACGTACATTACTCCGGCAATTTTTTTGCATCAATAATTAGTTCTCAATTCCTGTGAATTTCTGACAAGGTTTTTATTTATTTATGTATAATACGGGACGAGCCCAATTACATTGATTTTGTTGACAATAATTCACAAGAAAAAATTACACATATTTTAGAATGAAATACAATAAGTAGATTAAATACTAAGGAATTGTGGCTCCTCATTGGCTAACTTCAACATAAGAACAATAGAGCGATTAGTTAAATAATTATAGTGGCTAAAAGGAATATGAAATGGGAAAGAGGATCTGGAACAATAAGTGAGAACTCAGAAATTAACTTTGGATAGGAGGACAGGGGCATCAACTTCACCATTAATAAGTTTAGGAAGGAACGTAGGGTTGCACTGTTTTCTCATGTCACATATGGTAGACAAACGAAGTTGCTGCAACACTGGTTCATACTCATGAGGTGCACACTCAATACCTAAAGCAAAAGCGGCAAATTTTTAAAAATATGCTGAACTCTTTCAAGTTGATAACTACCATCAATGGTGCATGGTTCCTAGATAATTATACCAATACACMATACTCCATCACAGACCGAACGAAAGAATAGTATGAGGTCTTCAGAGAATTAGACAATTTAAACTCACCAAAAATTCTTTTAACAAATTCGAGAAGCTTCAKCGCCTTGCATGTAACTCTCTCAATATGAGTCTGAAAAGTAAGAGACTGATCAAAATAAATACTAAGGTCTCTAATACAATCACCAGAATGCTTAAGAGCAATATCGTTGATAGAGTACTTAATCAAGATCAGCTCATTGGAACAAGTAAAGGTCATGGTATGACATTTAGGGWTACTAAGCTCCAAGCCAAGTCCCTGGGCCCATTAAGCGACTACATTTAGATCAAATTGCAACCGCTTATAATCATCAGTGGTGGAAATACGGAGAAAAAGCTTAATATCATAGGAAAATATATGACGTCCACTGTGTTTAATCACATATTTGATACTATTAATAAAAAGAGTAAAAAGAATGGGTGAGAGATGCTCTCCTTGAGAAATGCTGGAGGTAACATTGATTGGACTGGAACAAAAACCGTTAATCTTGACTAGCTGTTTCCTCTCAGACAAATAGGAACGGAACCATGACATTAAAGGTTCACCAAACCCGAGATATTACTTAGAGTAATATTGCATCGGAAAGAAGCTCATATGGTAGACCATAAATACTACTGACTTGAACATTTAAATTATTTGGTGAATAAACGACGGAGCTAAAAATTTTTGAGAAAATCTCACACATAGTGGTTCTATCAACACTAGAAACACCATTCAATTTTACAGGTGAAGGGATGTTGGAAATTTTTTTATTTTCCGTACAAAATCCCAAATCCTTTTGGGATTAGTACAGAAATAATGCTTCAACTCGTTTAATATAATTCACATAACATTTCTTAGAGAGAAATTTAAACCTCGCTCGGAGCAGAGAAAAAGTAGAATATTCAATAAGGAACATCGAAGCCTTGTATAGGCGGCATGTGCTTTACTTTTTTGAAATTTCAATTCTTTTATTTCACTAGTAAACCACGAAGGAAACATAGACATCGTGTATTCAACCTGAGGGACGAAACTAATAATACAAAAGTGAAGAGCATCATAAAAAGCATTAGTTGCTTCATTTGCATTTAAAGAACTAATAGTATCTTTCCAATTGAAAGACAATAAAAAATGTTCAATTTTGGAGAAATCTGTTTTTTTGAAATCAAAAAAGTGAAGGTTCAATTCTGGGTTATACAGAACTGGGACCAAAACCATTTCAAAAACTAAGACTGAGTGGTAACGATCTTCGGGAACAACATACTCATCAGATCTCATAATAACCATATTACTTTTGTTGCTAAAAACCAAATCTAAAACAAAACCGTAGTAATTTTTGACCTTGTTCAGTTGGAACAAATTAAGTTAAGCAAAACTTTCAGGGATACAGGGAGCATGACAGCTGACAGAGGTCGAATAAATTACACCATTTTTGTTGTTCGACCAGTTTATCCCGGGAAGATTAAAACCCTCAGAGACAATAAACGCACAGTCAGAGAAAGACGTTACGACATTTTCAACATTTGAAATAAAAACTTATAGGAATCCACTGTGGATTTGGGAGGGAAATGAACAGTGCATAAKAWGKAAGTTATTACATTGTAACCACTGAACTCAACAAATAGTTGTTAAAAGTTAACGACAGAAATATTTAAAGATTGTGCCAAGAAAAGAATTTTTTTGAATTTAAATTCTTATCAATTTAGATTTTTTTATATTATATAATTCATTTTTTGATAAATACTAAAAAAAAAGAATTTTTTAATTTTTGATTTTTCAAAATTTAAATTTTGGGCTAGGGTAATGTACGTCAATATTTTCCAAAATTTTGGAAATATTAATTTTGAAAAAAAACACAAACTAAAATCCTAAGGATATAATTAATAGGTATACAGACTAATATAAACAGCAAAATAAAAAAACAATTATATAGTGACGTTATCGGATGAAAGTGTCAAACTCCTAGACAAAGAATATTTAGACCCCATTTATTGATAATTTTTTGAATATATTGTTATAAAATATAAAGTGATGTAGTATTACGCTTGACTCTTGTATAAATTATATTTAAGTAAATGTAACTATTAAATTAAAACATATTTAACTTTAAAAATCATCAAAATCATTGAATTTAGGAAGTGATTTAAACACCTATTTAAATTTTAAATTCATTCTGATTATGCATCTGATCATTAAGGAAATATTGGGTGGTAGTATAATATAACATTATAAAATAAGCATAAGTTCTTAAGCATTTACATATTATTGATTGATATTGGCATATTGAACATAAAGTATGATTTGTGAGTTATAAAAATACTCATGCTTCCTTACATTTATAAAAATTATAATTTTTTTTTTTCTGTACATTGACAACAGATTTAAAAAAAAAGAGAGATATAAAAGATTGTAAATATTTAATTACAATTTTATAGATGATGACTTTATAATTAACGTAAATTTGTTTTATAGTAAACAACAAACTATCTCCAAAATGGCCTTCCGAAGGAAAAATTATATTCAAAAATTTTTATCTACGATATGGACCAGATACACCATATGTTTTAAATAACCTCAATATAAACATAGAATCAATGCAAAAAGTAATTTTTAGTAATTTGTTATATTAAATATGATTAAATACGTTATACATTTAGATTTTTTATTCATTATTTAGGTAGGAATCGTTGGTAGGACTGGAGCAGGAAAATCTTCTTTAATTGCAGCCTTATTTAGACTATCTTTTAATGAAGGTAATATCATTATTGATGGCATAGAAATTCATGAAATTGGACTGCATGAGTTGAGGTCTAAGCTTTCCATAATTCCTCAAGAACCAGTCCTATTCTCGGGTACGATGCGAAAAAATTTAGATCCATTTGATGAGTACCCAGATCACATACTTTGGAATGCATTAGATGAAGTAATTTACTTTAAATTGCTTWATATTATATTTGTATAAAATCATTTAAAGATTCTTTACACAAAACTAAATCTGTTTTACTATCTAAGGTTGAACTTAAGAACGTTATTGAAGATTTGCCTGATGCCCTTAATTCAAAAATGTCTGAAAATGGCTCCAATTTCAGTGTTGGTCAAAGACAATTAATATGTCTTGCTAGAGCTATAATTCGAAATAATAAGATTCTCGTTTTGGATGAAGCCACAGCTAATGTTGACCCACAGTACCAAATAACACAGTTTATTTACTAATAGACAAAAATACAGATCTTTTTTTAATTTTCAGGACAGATGCATTAATTCAAACGACCATTAGAACCAAATTTCGAACATGTACAGTCTTAACAATTGCACATCGTTTGAATACTGTGATGGACTCGGACAAAGTCCTTGTTATGGACAAAGGAAAAGTGGTCGAATTTGATCATCCGTATAATTTATTACAAAATAAAGAAGGTGTATTTTTCAAAATGGTGGAACAAACAGGACCGGCTTCATCTGATTTTTTAAATAGAGTAGCTGCAGAGGTACACTTCTTAAAAAAATATTTTTTCTATTGAATGTTGTATATTATGAGTTCACAGACAGTACCTAATTGTATATTATTCTTATAGAGTTATCATTCTAARAATTTGGCGACAGAACCAAAATCCGAATCAATTGTCAGTGATGCAGATGGTATTTCAAAGAAAAATGTATAATACCAGTTTTGATAGTGTCACATACTATTATGTATATTAACCATAAAATCATATAATCTATATTATTCATTTTATAATAAAATTGTCGATCTAAATAAAAAAAAATATATATACTATCCATAATTTGATTTAATATATTTAACTTCTTAAATGTAAGACTACTTTGTATAGTATTTAATCATTTGAACGTTAGTATTTTTTTTCACCACATTTTCTTATCATTAGGTAAATATTTTTAGAATAATAATTGTTACAATCATTATCAGCTTAAAGCTATTTTACTTCGATTTATTTCTTTAAGGTTTAATGCTTAGAAACACTCAAATTTATCATAATATATTGGTTTTATATATTTCTCTAAAATATCAACTGTAGAAAATCCATAAAATTACTTTAATATATTTTCCCTATATAAATTACTCCATAATAAAATAGACTATCATCAATAATTATTGACAAAAAATAAATTATATTTTATAAATCATGCTAAAACTGAATATTTTTTTCTTTTCCAGCTAATAATTTCATGACATTTGAAAATTGTACTATTTTAAATTTGTCCATGCTTAATTTAATTATTTAGAATTTTAAGATGATTATTTATAATAGCCTTAATTTTTTGATAGTTTGTAAACTATAACCTAATGTTAGTTTTAATTCTAATTCTAATATCTTATAATTATAATTATATATTTTTATTATTATTGTTCAACATTACGTGTAATGTGCTGTTAATTTTAATTTTTGAATTGTGTTTAAATTGTTTAAAACAATATAAAAATTATTAAACGGTTTATCTGCAGTGTAAGATGTACTAAAATGTAAAAATTTTCAAATCTTAGATTTGAAAAGAAATTTTTTTATTAATTTATWGCTTAAAATAATTTGCGAATTTTTGTGATTTTTACGTATGCTATCAAAATTCAAACTTTGAATGCTTATAAAAAAAATTGTGACTATATATTTCTTTAATTTTTAAACTGCTATTGTAAAAATATGTTAGGAGCCTTGTAATGAATTTTCAAATCTTAGATTTAAAAAGAAAAACTTTTATGAATTTCTATCTAAGATAAGTTTAACTTTGCCGTAATTTTTACGTATTTAGTCAAAAAGTTGAAAAATTAAAATGTCAGTAAACAGCTGAAAACAAATAATATATTTTGAAAATTTTATAAAAAATAGAATATGTGTATTCAGTGAAAATTTCAAGTATCTGCGGTCATTTGTTTTAGAGTTACAGCAAAATAAGGAAATCGCTAAATACGAAAATCCAATGTTGTAAAAATTTAAATTTCAAACGCTCTGGTGCTTTCTGGTGGACATTTTTTATTGTGATAAAGATTTAAAAACTTGTAAGCAATCTTGTATTCAATTTTCAAATCTTTGATTTAAAAAGAAAATGTTTTATGAATTTCTAGCTTAAAATAATTTGCGAATTTTTGTGATTTTTATTATATTTTGTCAAAATTCAAACTTTGAATGCTTACAAAAAAAAACTGTGACCATGTATTATTTTTATTTTTCAACTCCTATATTGTAACAATATGTTAAGAGTATTGTTTTAAATTTTCAAGCTTATCTACCCAAACAATAAATGTTGATCGATATTAATTTAAAAATAACTAATAATGATCAAAAATTGCATATGCCTATAAATAGTTMAACTTAAGTCGAAATTTTTTTTAAATTGTATGGTGGATAGAATATACTTATATAAATATTTTTTTTTCATTCCATAGTATGTCATAAACTCATAAGTCGTAGTTTTGTGTCAAGATTCAAAGACATCATTTTAAGATCCATATTATTATATAACTACACAAAAGATCATTGGGTTAAAATAAATTTCCCAACACTTACGATAACAATTTGATTACTGATTTTATTTTACTTTAATCCTATAAATGTATATATTTATTTTTGGACAGTAATAAATATAGAAACTGGAACCTTGGTAATTGGTTCCGGTTCCGATTTTGTTCCTATACAATTTAATTATTTTAAATTAAGAATTCCAACTAATACTGGTATTAACCAGTTCTTAAAAATAATAATGTCATCAWTTGGAAACTATGATTTACGGTAATTGCTGATACTTGGTCTATATTGAATATATTTTTATATTAAATAGTTAATGAAAAAATGAAAAATAACTACCTATAATCGTCATTTGGTTTCTGCCTCGAAGGTTATACTCATATGTCGTATGCGTAATTTTGTTCAAACAATGGTGGCTGATATCTAATAGTTTAATAAAAAAAAAAGAAATCTTGATTCTCGCTAAAGTATTGAAGTATTATMTATTTACAATCTACATAATTTATATATAATAAATAAATATTAAATAAATTATAAAAATATAGGGGAAATGCTTGCAGGAAGACTTTAAAAAAATCACCTTTACGTGAGAAAGATATTGCTCGATTTTTATCATTAATTTCATGTAGCATAACTATTACTACAAATCCCCACCATAAGTTGGCGTATTTAGATACTGATATATTTTTTTATTTTTTTTTAATAATAAGTCTTCAACAGCTAGGTCATTAACCTGTGGTTGTAGATACAATATTATTAATGGATACCTACTTTAGTTATGACTGTCTGTTACATGATTACAGATTAAGTGATACAGTTTTATATATTTACATTATATTTGGCATGTGTAGATTTAGCTTAATATTTAAATTGTTTTGACGATGCCAATGGATTTGAAGAAGCTAGATAGTGATATTAATAATATCAAATCTACTAGGTACGCTGATAAACTTTGTCTGGCTTTAACCAGTAGCCATTTGTTTTGTACTTATTCATTGGCACTTGACTCACTAATATTTAAGTAATTATTGAACACTATACGAATATATATATATATATATATATTAATGCTTAGTACTTAGTATGTTAGGTATTGATTAAATAGAGAGTATATAAGACAGATATGTAGTCATCGTAGTCATATTATAAAATTACACTTTAAAACTTTAACTTTTAATGTATTAAAATATTAAATTTAGGTTTAAAATATAGTATTAATTGTATACGAATATACCTACAATGTCAAAGTATGTGTGTAACTACTAACTAATTTGGTATCATCATATTGTAAGTTATTCAATTAACTAAGTTATTACAATATATTAAAATATAATCTTACTTTTATAAATAACTATGTGCATCAGTAAAGCCTATATATACTTTATATTATTGATACAAGTTTCAAGATAATTATAAATAATTATTTACGTATTATTATTCGGTGAGTGATTTCATTTCATTCATTTTTTTTACCTTACAATTACGTAATTTAATTCACTAAGAATATCTACCTAGTTTGATCAAATATTTTTACTAAATGGACCAAAAAATTATTTATAATACTTAAATATAGTACATAGTATTTTTTGTTATATTAAAATGAAAAAAACCCCGTTGTCTGTTTCAACGTGATAAATTATAATCAATCAGCACATCAGTGTAACACCAAAATCATAAGAATATTTAAAGCTCCAAGGATACTATCTTAAATTTAAATAATTATTTTTGTACAATTATCATCAAATTTAAATAAATATTATATAAAAAATTGACCAATTAATCATAGTTAACATTAAATATGCTATAGAAAATGTATAATAATTTGTTTGAAATATTTAATACGTCATATTTTTTAATTTATTCAGTAACGAGTACTTGCTACATATAATATTTAGTATTGAAGCAGTAGTTTTCAAACGGTGATGGGGGGCAACCTCCACCACCATGGGGTTTTATCAATGTTTATTATAGCTTGGATATAACCATACAATTTTTATTATAAATTATAATTTTAATGATGGAAATGCAAATCAAAAAAATCAGCCCCATTCTATTACAAACCATTTAACCATCATTGTTTTGAAACTCATAAAGTAGTCAATATGTTCTATTTAAAATATTTTTTATGTTATCTATTATTTTAGGTTTAATATGGACTCTGGTAATATATATGAACGGCCTTCAAATCCTAGAGCCAATGCAAATATCTTTAAAATCCTCTCATTTGGGTAAATATTATAAAATAATCTTATATAGGTAGTATTACAATTATAAAGTTGTAATTTTAGCTACTTATTAATAGATGTGCTTGTATTTAATATTACTTACATGATGATTAATATTCACACTATTGTTTAAGTACTTACTAGTGAAATGAAATGTGTACTTACCTATTAAATACATTTTTCTACATTTTATTAAGATGGCTTTACAAACTCTTCAAAACTGGAGAAAAAAGAGATTTAGAAGTTAATGATTTGTATACAACTCTAAATGATCACAAGTCATCATCATTAGGCATGGAATTAGAGGAGTGAATATATTTATAATATTATAATAAATATTATTATTATTTATTAATTATAATTTGATTTAAGAACATGGAAAGATGAGCTTGAAAGTGCTAAAAAGGCGAATCGATCACCAAGTTTAATAAAGGCGTTGATCAAAATGTTTGGAGTCAAGTTTATGTTATATGGATTACTGCAATTGATAGTAGAAATTTTTTTAAGGTAAACATTGTTCTATATAATTACTGTGGTGAGTGCAAATTACTTCTGATATATACGCCGTATCAAACAAAAATAAATTAGTATTTATTGTGTATTTAATACAGAGCTAATCTATAATGATCTCATCTCATCAAACTTCTCTTTCACTTGTGGTTTGCCTTTTAATTAAATATCATAGTTTAATTTAGCTTTCATTTCTGAAAAATAATTATATAAAACAAAACATGTATATTTTTAAATTTCTCTAACTGCTTTTTGAGCAACATTTTCATATTGGTAACCATTTTCAGAAGTTTTAAAAAAGTTTAATAAGTTTCTTGTTTTAATAATATACGTGATATTTCGAAATTAACAATAGACATATTATATTATTACTACGAATATTTTGTCTATATAGAATGTCTCTACCATTACTTATCGGTGGACTGTTATCATACTTCAATCCTAATTTGTCAAACAAAACGCATAGTTTAAGCCGTGCGTACACATATGCAATATTGTTGGTATTAAATATGTTAGTAACATTAGTTATGTATCATGCAATACAAATTGAAATTTTGCATTGTGGGATGAAGATACGGGTTGCTTGCTGTTCACTAATATTTAAAAAGGTAAATATGTTTTAAAACATAAATAAACATCATTATGAATGTGTTGGTAAGTATAATTTAATCTCAACATAATGTATGGAAACAATTTTTTTTAAATTATTATTCAATAAACATAAATCAATTATTTTAAAAATGTACTAACAAMTCTGTATACATAGATACGTAAACACTTACATCGTATTTATTATAATATTATAGAAATGATCTCGAGTTAATTCTTTACTCGACCGATCACAACATTAAAACTAGATAATGAAATGGTAGTAAAGAAAATTAAAAATTAGAAAATCAAAAAATTGAAATATAAAATTTCCTAACTTAGATATTTATTATATAGTATACTTAGATATTATATTTTATTTTATTTAGGCATTGAAATTAAGTAAAACGTCTCTTGGTGAAACTACTGTTGGTCAAGTAGTAAATTTGTTATCAAATGATGTAAATCGGTTCGACACAGTAGTAATATTTCTCAACTACTTATGGATAGGTCCTATACAAACAATTTTAATCACATATTTTTTGTGGCAAGAAATTGGAGTGTCATCAATGATTGGAGTTGCGATATTACTTATTGCCATACCAATACAAGGTTTGTACCAAATATTTTTTCACAAAAATGTCTATTTACCTATACGCTCTATTACCGTAAAACAAACAAACAATTATTCTTATTCTTATTATCAGGTTGGATAGGAAAAAAAATATCAGAATATCGGTTAAATACAGCCATTCAAACTGACGAGAGAGTACGTTTAATGAATGAAATAATTTCAGGAATTCAAGTTATTAAAATGTACACTTGGGAAAAGCCTTTCGCAAATTTTGTAGAATATGCAAGAAGGTTTAATTTAGTACCTAATGGATCAGGCACATGATTAAATAATAAATAATTATATCTATCGTTTTAGAAAAGAAATAAATGAGATTAGAGGATCATTGTATTGCAGAGCTGTAATGTTAACTTTTGGGGCTTTCCATACTAGGGTGGCAATGGTTTTCAGTATATTTTCATATGTGATCCTTGGAAACTATATTTCTGCTGAACAAGTAAGATAAATTGTGTAATAATATACAACGATTGAAAAATGTTATTTATAAATAATTAGTTGAATTCATTTAGGTTTTTGTCATAACATCGTATTATAATCTATTGCGAAACACAATGACAGTTTTTTTTCCTCAAGGAATTTCAATGGTGGCAGAAATGCTGATATCGATTAAACGAGTCCAGGTACTTACATACCTGCCTATAATAATATAGAATAAAGTTTATTAAAAAGATTAAAAAAAATATAATTTAAGTAATATCTACATTTTTTAATGTTTTATTGAATACATTATAAATAATATGCGTTGTTTAAGAGCTTTTTAATGTACAACGAAAAAAATAATCAAGCGGCTTATCCCTCAAAATCTGATAAGAAAGCTGCTAATAGTAACAAAGAAGTAATAATTACTAATACGAATTTGTCATCGGTTAATATAAAATGTGATGATGGTGAATCACCACAATTAAATAACATTGGAATTGTCTTAAACAATGCTACAGCTAAGTGGACAGATGCTCAAACCGATAACTCTTTAGAAAATATTAATCTTACGGTAAGACCTGGTCGATTAGTTGGAGTGATCGGTCCCGTGGGGTCTGGAAAAGTACATAAATTCATTATTTTAATAGTTCATAAATATTTAAAAAAAAAAAAAACAAACAAACTATAAACATTTCAGAGTTCATTATTACAAGCGATTTTAGGAGAATTACCACTATCTGAAGGACAAATTGTAGTGAACGGTGTAGTTTCTTATGCATCTCAGGAACCATGGTTATTTGCTGGTTCTGTACAACAAAATATTCTATTTGGTTCAGCAATGGATGATGAGCGTTATAAAGAAGTAAGCATCTGCAATTAATAATTATCATTTAAATGAATTTATTCGATACTTAATTTTAATCTCTCGTATTATCTTTTCTAATTTAAAAAAAGGTTATACAAATTTGTGCCTTAAAAACTGACTTGGAACAGTTTCCATATGGTGATAAAACAACTGTGGGAGAAAGAGGAGTTTCCCTCAGTGGTGGACAAAAGGCGAGAATAAATTTAGCAAGGTAAAAGAAAATTAGGAAAATAGAAAAATAAAAAAATTAATTAGAAAACCTATTATTATTTTTTTTTAATTTCAAATATCGTAATACAAGAGCTGTATACAAACAAGCGGATATTTATTTATTGGATGATCCTCTATCAGCTGTAGATGCTCATGTTGGCAGTCATTTATTTAGAAAATGTATTAAAGGTAATAAAATTAAAAATACTATTGTAATATTTATTGATATTTTACTTCCATTTAATAGGTTACCTTAGAAAGAAAACTTGTGTTCTTATTACCCACCAAATACAATACTTGAATAGCGTAGATCAAATTATTCTTATACATAAAGTAAATATAATGCCTATTGAAAATATAACTAAATAATACTTTTTTAGTAATTTTATGTTTTACATAATTGATGGTCTTCTAGGGAAATATTTTAATTGAGGGTTCGTACAAGGATCTTCAGAAATCAAATTTAGACTTTACAAAAATGCTTGAGTCACCTATATTAGTTTCAACCGCATCCTTTAATGAAAATATTTCAAAAAATACAAGTGTTAATAACCATCGAATAGATTATAGTCGACAAACGTCTATACAAAGTATCGCATCATCATTTGAAGATGCCCAATTCAGTGTTTCTCAAGAACAACCTGCTGAAGTATCTGAAACTCGAACATCAGGAAGTGTTTCAAAAAATGTTTATTCGTCGTATTTTCTTGCTGGTGGAAGTGGTTGTAAAATATTCTTCTTCTTTATCATATGTATTTTAACTCAAGTACTAGCATCAGGTGGAGATTTCTGGATGACCTATTGGTATAACAGCGTATTTTTAATCTGCTAATCTTTAGGTTTTTATAATAACATCATATTATAATATTTTGCGGGTGTCTATGGCTGTTACTTTTCCAGTTGGAATTGGTTTGATTGCTGAATTACTAGTTTCTATTAAAAGAATTGAGGTACGCACAAATACTTAATATTAAATGCATAATATTTTCAATCAAACTATAATAAAATATTATAATATGGTATTACATAGGATTTTCTTTTACGTGAAGAAAAAGAGAAGCAACCGATAAGCCGACCGCAAACCACAAATGAGCATGAAAATTCAAGTCTTAATGACAACTGTAGTACAGTGACAAGTTATATTGGCAATCATGATAACACTGCACAATCAAGTAAATTTAGTATAAATGTTTTGAACGTTACCGCCAAGTGGACAGACTCTCAGACTGAAAACACTATAGAAAATATAAATTTAACCGTAAGCCCAGGTCGTTTGGTTGCAATAATTGGTCCAGTAGGAGCCGGAAAAGTATAATTAATACTCACTTATTTTGAATAGTCTGAAATTCTTATAGTTTTATTTTACAGAGTTCGTTTATACAAGCCATCTTACGGGAATTATCAGTGTCCAAAGGAAGTATTTCAGTGCATGGTGTAGTGTCATACGCATCTCAACAACCCTGGTTATTTGCAGGTTCCGTTCAACGAAATATTCTATTTGGCTTGCCAATGGATAGAAATCGTTATAACAAAGTAATGTACTCATAACTCATATTAATTTCAGACATTATCCGTTATATTTATAATTATTCCACTGGTAAATAGATAATACAAGTATGTGCGTTACAAACGGACTTGGATCAATTTCCATATGGTGATAGAACAATTGTGGGAGAAAGAGGAATTTCTCTTAGTGGTGGACAAAGGGCAAGAATAAATTTGGCCAGGTAAAATTAAATATGATTTATTAATTACATTTTGAAGTTTTGAAATATTTTACGTTAGAGCTATATACAAAAAAGCAGATATTTATTTGCTGGATGATCCTCTGTCGGCTGTTGACAATCATGTTGGCAAACACTTATTTACAAAATGTATTAAAGGTAACGCCAAAGTAATGTCTAATTAATTGCGTACAATATATAATATAGTAATATATGTCACCTGACACCTATATTAACATTACAGACTTTCTCAACGAAAAAACACGTATACTTATTACTCATCAATTACAATATTTAACGAGTTTAGACCAAATAGTATTGATGGAAAATGTAATTATTTATAAATACAATTACTAATAATATATTATATAATTTAGGATGTATTAAATGAATTATTTTTGTATTTTTATATGACAGGGGAAAAAAATAGCCGAAGGTTCATACAAAAACCTTCAAGAATCCGGCTTAAATTTTACAAAAATTTTAGGGTCTCCAATAGAACCTGTAGTAACGCCTGATAATGAATCTATTACAAAAAGACCAAATTTTCGAAGCCAAAATTCCATTTATACTCGACAATTGTCTGTGTTGAGTGTTACGTCAATTGTCGAAGAAAATAATTATAATGATGTTCAGGTTGAAGTTGTAGAAGTTGTTGAACCTATTGAAACGGCTGAAACTCGCTCTTTTGGAAATTCTGGATTCAGTAATTATTCATCATATTTTTCTGCTGGTGGACACAAATGCAAAATTGTCTTATTTCTATTGTTATGTATCTTAACTCAGATACTGTCTTCAAGTGGTGATTTTTGGATAACTTACTGGTAAGTACCTATCTATAATGTTTAAAAACAGTTTCATTTCAAAAATAATCCAAGCAGTTTTGATCAAACAAATTTCATGTTTATAGGGTTAATTTAGAAGAACACATTTTTCATTCGATCAGCCATTTAGAACCCCAGAAATATAATATATCTAATACATCAACATCATATTATTCGTCCAATACATTAATTTCATGGATAGTAGATCGTCAAACATGTATTGTCGTATTTGCTGTAATTACAATATCTATCATAATATCTACACTAATTAGATCAGCTTTCTTTGTATCAGTATGCACAACATCTTCTACAAATCTACATAATCGTATGTTAGGGTCAATTATAAGAGCAACAATGCACTTTTTTAATAAAAATCCATCGGGTAATAAACACTAAGACCTAACATTCCGACGTAAATAATACCAACAAATTAACATTTTAGGAAGAATACTTAATCGTTTTTCAAAAGATATAGGATCCATTGATGAAATGTTACCTTTCGTATTGATGGATGTTATACAAGTAATATAAATATTATATTCTATTATAATAATAGAATAAAGGAATATAATATGTTCGTGATAAATAAACTACAATTCAAATTATCAGTAATTACCTACACTCAATTATTTTAATTGTTTGATGAACATGAGGTAAAGTTACTTGAATATGTGCAGTTTTAGGATTTTAAGTTCTTTGATTAGTTTGTATAAAAACTCAAAAGTCATTAAGAAAAATTAGGAAATTTGGTGATATGGTATTTATTTTCGTGATACCTATAGTGGTTAGGTAATTTCGAAAGTAAAATAAAACATAATAATTAAAAAATTTCATTCGAATAATTCTTTTAATAGTTCTTTATTAATTAAGTATGATAGGTATAACAAAAAATTCCAACCTTATTTTTAATTCATAACTATTTAATCAAACTTTCAGATCATAAAATATAAATATAGTAAGGATTTTAATTTTAGAAAATGGTAGGTAATTCCGTGATAGGCTGTACTGCAAAAATATTTTCAGATTCGTATAGAAAAACATATTATCTTCATTTCTTCATTTAACTTTATGAGTATATCGTTCTAAAAGCGATTTTTTGATGTCATTATTTTTAATAAATAAAATATGATTAAAATTATAAATGTATTTGTAGTGAAAACTTTAAGAAAATGCACAACTATGATAAGAAATGATTAGCTAAAGCAGATCAATAAAAAACTAAAAGTTTTGCCAATAAACTAAGCATGTTTTCTAGTTCAATGTTTAATACAAATAATACATTTACCTTAAACATAAGTCTGAAAATAAAAATTTTGGTCAAATATGTCAAAACAAATATGCTGAACGTATATAAAACAATGATTAAGAATTAACCAGCTGACAGTAATCAATTGAGATACTACACGTACCCAATGACTCTACGCCAACCAACAGTAGTAACTATGGCATCATTTGACGCTATTTAGAGATTTTTGGCTAATAGGTTCGTTATAAATGCTGACAGAAATATCACGAACATGCCTTCCTTTATCCTATGTCTAGTCAAATATAAAAATCATCAATTGTTTTCATTTAATATTTTTAAGATTGGATTGATTGTGATTGGAATATTAATTATAGTTGGAATAACCAATCCCTTCCTTATTATACCGACATTAATCATAGTGGTCATATTTTTCAAAATCAGAAAAATTTATAAGACAATATCACAGAGTATTAAACGTTTAGAAGGAGTCAGTAAGCAAAAATAATAATTTAAACTAATTTTTATGGTACAAATAATTCATAAAACCGATTGTATTATATAATTTGATAAATATTAGCACGAAGTCCTGTAATTACTCATTTAAATGCATCACTTCAAGGAATAACAACTATAAGAGCATTTGAAGCGGAACAAGTTCTTTCCGCAGAGTTTTCCATCCATCAAGTGAGAACCGTTTTATTTTTTTACACTTACAATATCACCAATAACTATTATCGTGATCAAATTCTAGGATTTACATTCCTCGGCTTGGTATTTATTTATTTGTTCAAGTAGAGCATTTGGATTTTGGTTGGATTTAACCTGCCTTATATATATAAGTATCGTGACGTTTTGTTTTTTAGTTATTGACAAAGGTATACCATTAACAAAATTGTATGTAAAAATGTTTATATTCCATTTTAAATAATACAATTTTAACTTAGACACATACAGTGGAAATGTTGGTCTTGCTATAACTCAGTCAATAGGATTAATTGGTTTGTTTCAATGGGGAATGAGACGATCAGTAGAGCTGGAAAACCAAATGACGTCTGTTGAGAGAGTACTCGAGTACACAGTTTTACCCCAAGAACCAGCACTTGAATCGCCTCAAAGTACTAGCAATTAGATTAATTCAAATAAAATCATATACATAAGGAAAAAACAAACAAAATACCAATGTGAGTATGTACAAATCGTTTTCAGATAAAAAGCCACCAAAGAACTGGCCAGACAAAGGTCGAATAACATTCAATAATTTTTATCTACGATATGACGTTGATACTCCTTATGTTTTGAGTAATCTCAATATTCATATTGAGCCCACAGAAAAAGTAATATTAAATAAAGGCGTACATTTTTTCAAATGTTATAATAAATATTAATTATGTTTATAGATTGGAATTGTTGGTAGAACTGGAGCAGGGAAATCATCTTTAATTGGGGCATTGTTTAGATTAGCTCTCAGTGAGGGTAGTATAACTATCGATAACCATGAAATACATGAGTTGGGACTACATGAATTACGATCCAAGCTTACTTTTATACCTCAAGAACCAGTTTTATTTTCTGGAACCATACGTAATAATTTGGATTTATATAACAAATATTCTGATAACGAAATTTGGAGTGTATTAAGTGAGGTAATCTTATGTTTACTTGAAATTAGTAGATTTAATTAAAACAATTATGTATAGTTTCAAAAATACAAATATCACAAATACAAAAATAATAAAACAATATTGCACACTAAATTCTCTCCTCTTTAAAGTGTAAAAATTTCGTTTCATAGTTATGGCTGTAGTCTTCTTGATATTTTTTCTTATACAACAGTTTGTCTTATGTTTTACATTTCTAAGACGGAGACAACGCAGCGTAGGTTTAGCGTAACTTTTTAACGTGTATAGTATTATATCGCAATAAATAATTTAAAACTCATTTATTTCTATACTTTTAGAAATAACTTTTTGTGTCATAAGAAATAATGATGAGTAGATGACTAGTGGCCGACGACTGATAATTTTTATTATTAATTACGAAATATAGTTTTTTTATTTTACTATTAACTTCATAGGATTCAATTTTAACCCAGCTTGTATGATATTAATTATTTAGGTATTTACAATAGAAGCAGAGAAAATGACATATTAATCGTTTTTAATAATAAATTAAATTCTAGGTGGAACTTAAAGATGTTGTGAAGGATTTACCAAATGGACTAAACTCAAAAATGTTCGACGGTGGATCTAACTTTAGTGTCGGGCAAAGACAATTAGTGTGTTTGGCTAGAGCAATTTTGCAAAACAATAGAATTTTGGTACTGGATGAAGTCACTGCAAATGTTGATCATCGGTAGTATAATATTATTATAAAAAATATTCCTTTAATATTTTTCCAATATAATTATTATTGTTTTATAGGACAGATGCATTAATTCAAAAMACAATAAAAGATAAATTTCGAATGTGCACAGTTTTAACAATTGCTCATCGTTTGAATACTGTAATGGATTCTGATAAGATCCTTGTAATGGACGGGGGAACTGTAGTGGAATTCGATCATCCATTTCGATTATTGAAAAACACSAGCGGATATTTCTATAAAATGGTAAAACAAACTGATCAAAACACTGCGCGCTTATTACATACTACAGCTGCAGAGGTATACGTCATCATTTTAATTTATGGTTTATACTAGGGGTCACCAATTAATACTTTCCGTGGGCCACATTAAGAATTTGGAAAATTCTCGCGGGCTATAAAAATACAAAGTACCTACATATTTATTATAATATGTCGATTGGTCAAAACTATTTTATTCCTAAATAAAAAAAAAAGGGGGGAAGTGGATGTCGCTCTGCTGTACATTAGGAGGTGGGGTGGACCTCTGACTAGGGTAGGTTAAGTTTGAATGCAATGATAGGTATCATTGTATACGAAAAACAATTCTGAACGGAGATTATTTGTCAATCTAGGATATATTATATTTCAATATTGTCATATATTCTATTTTGAAACAAATATTTTATTTTTCAATTAGGACGCATTTTGTATAAGGCGTGGTTAATCAATTTTTCCAAAAACATTGCATTTAATTATCATAATTCATAAAACCTTATAATTTATTATCATAGACATACATATACCTGGTTAGAGGATAAATCGTTATCGTTACGCGATTTCATAAAAATTTAAAACTCAAACGCTCAAATAATAATAGTCGTAATAATCTTCTATAATGACGCTTCAAAGTTTTCTCCGTTGTATCCGAATTGGTTCCCAAACGTCCGAATTGGTTCCCGGGTTGTTACGAAGGGTATATCCGAATTGGTTCCCGGGTTGTTCCGAAAGGTATATCCGAATTGGTTCCCGGGTTGTTCCGAATTGGTACCCGGGAAAAAGCATTTTCAATTTTCCTTCCCATTTTATACAGACTTAGGACTGTCTACATATTATGCAGGTATGGTTAAAAATTTGTCACGAATGTCATTAAAAAAAAAAAAAATAATATAGTTTTTCAATTCGTCAATTTTTCTTTTTTTATAAGTATAATAGTTAAGTATGTATTAATAAAAATTAATAAGGTAAAAATTTGCAACAAACACTTTTTATAAATTCTAATTCGTAGATTAGGTTAGGCGTCCGTATAATACTATATAAGTTCATATTAAAGCAAAATTTAAAAATTTCTATTAGAAATTTAAAAAAATTAATATAGCAATTTTGTTGATATGATTTTTAAAACATGTTCGCAATAAAAAAGTTTCTTGTCTACCTATTATTTATTCATTAGAATATCGGGAACCAATTCGGATGTGTGTCTCGTGGAATGTCAGGAACCAACTCAGATGTCAATTTTCAGGTATGGGAACCAATTCGGATGCAGCCGTTTTCTCTATAGCTATCTGAAGCAAAACTTATGGAAAACTTAGTGTTGAATTTTTAAACCTTCGATATAAATACAAACAATTTTATGAATTTTGAACTACAAAATAATTTGCAAATATTCATGGTTTGAATGAATTTTTGTCAATATTTGAACTTCAAATGCTAATAAAAAAAAATGTGCCTAAATATTCTCATAATTTTTTAATCACTATAAGAACAACTCATAAGGAACCTTGTATTAAATTTTCAAGTTTCTTCGGTCATCCAAAATTTTTTTACCGACACTTCAAAAAAAATTCTCATAAAAATCGAAAATTTCAGTGGTCTATAAATAACTCAAAAAAGTCAAACATTTTTGAAAATTAAACTGTATATAGATAACATTAACATAAATATTTGGTGAAAATTTAAAGTATTTACAGTGATTAGTTTTTGAATTACAACCACATAAAAAAATCGATTTGGTCGAAAACTGGTTTTGCGTAATAATTCCCGTTTTTCTGTCACTTTTTTTTTTGTTTTTCTCGATTTTTTTGAAGACTGTTGGAAAATGTTTACTTTTGACATTTATAATGCACTAAGGATATTCACTTTTCCATCAGAAACCACCCCCAAAGTTTGAAATTAAAGCATATTTTTGACTAGTTATGCTGTACACTGAAACACAAAAAAAAAAACACACACATCATTGTAAAATCAATACATTMATCGCTCCGTTCAGAATCTAAAATTATACTCCTATTATGTAACTATATAACTAATGAAAATATAATTACATTTGACTAATATGTGAAACAATTGTGAATTTTTTTGACTTTTTTTAATTTTAATTTTTAATGAGAAAAATGGCAGATCTTGCTCTGGTAAAATTACTGGTAAATAAATAATAAAATATGCTTTTCAGTCGAAAAATCCAATAATGTATATACCAATAATGTATATAGATAAGAAATTATCGGCTTCTTCTCTCCTTGTCTGAGAGCTGGTTAAAATTCATCCGTGGGCTGGATGTGACCAGCGGGCCGCCATTTGTGACCCCTGGTTTATACTATTCATTTCTTACTGTATAATTTTAATGACTATAATAATTAGAATTTTATGTTTTCAAGAATTACAAGAGTATTGATATACGAAGAAAAAAACCTATTCAGTGAAGTTTGGTGAAAAACTGGTGACATAACTAGGGCACTGATTTATATGTAAACACATATTATTTTCACTATGACTTGATGAATTATTTTAGGCAAGTGATAAATTCGGTTCACGTGGTTTTCAATTGAATAATATATAATATTTGATTTTACATTAATAGTCTTACATAATTTGTGATAAATACATGTTTTACATATTTCTTCACAATAACTTTATTTTTCTCACATACTCACAGCCTCTTTTGATGATTATTTAAACTAATATAATATACTATTATGTATTTATTATTATTCTTTATTTTTTTAATTAATATTATGTATAGATTGTATATTCTCTAATAATTATTATATAACAAAATTATTGTTTTATATTTTTACTCTTAATACATAAAAAATATAAGTATAAAAAATACTTTGTGAAGTGGGAATTGTTATCATAATATATATTTTATAATAAGTTTATTAAATACACTTTTACGCTTAATATATTTGTTTTTAAGTTCTCCATTGAATGTGTTCATTGGGTTCTCTCTATTCTTTATTGAACTAAGTAGACCAGTTATAACCCGTTACCTACTCATAAGTATCATAATATTTATATAATATAATATATATGCATTTGTTATAAGTTTATAAATTAATAAATTATATGTAACGAGATTTATGATTTTGAGTGTTAAGCTATTTTATAGATTTCTTTATTTATTCTTACCTACCTACATTAAACATTATAAATAATCATTTTACCGAGTATTTTTTATGAATACTAAGAAAAAATTTTAAAAAAATAAGCTTATTTGAAAGACTAGAATATTTATTAGTAGTTCATAGTATGTCTATTATCTATGTTATGTATATTCTCACTGCCTTGCACAGTTATTTAAATATATATATATATACCTATATATACCAACTATCGTTTTATAATTTATATAAGTACTAAATGTATAGACCTCCACTAAAACACATCAAGCAATTATCTACTTCATTTGTTTATGATTAATTTGTTAACGTATTTTTAGTCCATTAAATTTATTTGAGTTAAATAATATCATTTTACAGCGGGAAGTACATTATTCACTAAGTATAGGACGTATAGGTACTCATAAATTAAGTGCAGAAGTTAGTTATTTGCTTACTTTCATCCGGCCGTAAATTATGATTATTTATTACTGTTTGTTTGTTATTAATTATCACTATATCCATTATATTTTATTTTATTACACTTGAATATTTGTGGTTTTAAAATAATAAGAGCTTCGAGTTGACACTATTTTTAAAAGTTATACCTAGGTACCATGCACTTATTCATATCATTATATTATATAACTATGTATTAAAAATAATTATTTACTTCATTGATTAAATTTCACATACCAATATCTTGCATGAAAATTTAAATATCAAAAAAAATATTTATAAGCACAGATAATGTACATAGGTAAAAGTATGATAATAGGTCATAATAGGTCAATACTTATCGTGTTTATCAAATGCCAATCGTAGATTTTTCTTTGAATTAAAAAAAAAACCGGGTAAGTCATGGATGTCACTCTGCTGTAHAGTATAGGTTACTGTAATGGGTGGAATTAAATTTGAATCCAATGATATTATATCATTGTATACGAAAAACGATTCTGAGCGGAGACGGTTTATCTTTCTAGGGTATATTATAGATTATTAAAAATTTTCAAATCTTAAGATATAAAAGGAATTTTTTTTATGAATTTCTAGGATAAAATAATTTTCGAATTTTCGTGATTTTTACGTATTTTGTCAAAATTTAAACTTTGAATGCTTATAAAAAAAAATTGTGAGTACAATATATTTCTATTATTTTTCAACTGCTATTGTAAAAATATGTTAGGAGCCTTGTATTAAATTTTCAAGCTTTCTACCCAACAAAGAAAGAACGGGGGTTCTTGATGAGGAAACTGTATGAATTGAGTTAAAGGATTATGTTTTAAATTTTGTAGAAACAGGACAAGAAGAGGGAGTTTGGTGGGTAGACTCGTGTCGTACATTATTGAGGGTCCATTCGATGTATGGAACATACTGGGGCCATATGGAATGTTTGTGGTGACAATATGTACGGAACATCCTACCTAGCTCTCTCATGACTCGTTCTGCGGGATTAGATTGAGGGTGATAGACGCTTGTATGGGAGACTTGAATATTAAATTTTTTGAGGGAGGTCTGCCAGTACTTGCTGATAAATTGTCGACCGTGGTCAGAAACAATGCTTTTTGGAACTCCATAAGTTGGGAAATAATCTGTGATTAGCTTTTTTATACAAATTTTGGCATTGGCACGCCTTAGGGGATATAGTTTGACAAAACGTGTGAAATTATCCACGAGAACAAAGATATAAGAAAATTGGAACATTCCGGTAGGGAGGGGGCCATAAAAGTCGTTACGTCTTGTCTTTGAGCACCATGATAACGATCCTGTGGTATATATATAAAATGAAAACGTCCCATTATTGTATAATTTATGCATATGACGTTCAAGTTCAACTATTGTTACGAATGACTTCTTTTATAGGCCATTCGTGCATAACTATTGTTATACAAAATATATTTTTTTAAATAATCAAGATGCAATGTAATTATCCCAATTTAGCAACAAATTCGTTAATTGGCTATCATTATTACAATTCACAAAAATATTTTAAGATCATATTTATGCGTGATATAATAAGAGTTAACGAAATAATATGCAACTATCAATTATTATTAGTTTGACTAAAATAAGATTCGTTTAAGGTATATATCTCCATTCATTCAGTATTTGAATAAGCATCCCGATGGCCCGATGGCCCGAAAAAACAAATCATAAATAAATGTTATTATAAAAATTTTAATTTATCGTAATTTATTAAGTATGATAAATAATTTTAATATAATTTCAATTATTAATGATACGATGCTAAGATTTGTTTTTCACATTATTTGACCTAGACCTTATCTGATTATGATTAATATATACATATATTAAACCATTAATAGTTGTATTTAAAAAAGTCCAAATAATCTTTGTAATGTAACAACTTAACATAATAAATCATAAATGATTTTATGATTTATGGCAGTTTATTCCATTAGTGTATGAAGTAAAATATCAGTTCGTGTTTAACTCCTGTTCGAGTGATACGCGTRTTCCGTTATCGCGCCCGTATTTTGATCTTCCGATAAACAACATAGCACGGGACTCAACCGGTAATATGTTTGTATCATATTATTATAAACTGTTCATCTAAAATTAATATTATAATATACACATAACACGTTCAACGGTGAACACTCGTTATGACTTAATGAGTAACAGCCAATCAAACCTACCATATAATATCACCGTGCATAAATACCCCACCAAGTTAACCCTCAACGAAAAACTAATAGTTCCCAACAAAGTAGCGGCGTAGCGCCACAAAATACTAAACCTGCCTTAATATCTCAACAAACTACTAATGAACCCCTCTCATCTGAAGTTTCTAAAGACAACATATAAGTCAAAAGCTTTACGGAAACGAAAGCTAACTCCATAATACCTAAAATAAACCAAGCCAAAGTTATCAACTCACTAATTGATGGTATCAAACAAATTCAATATATTATTGCACTGAATCAAATTACCGAAGAATCAAATATTATCTCTACCTCGAGCATTTCTAATATTAGATTCTGTATTTTCCTCAAAATCAACAAAATATAGTCGACGACTTAATCAATAAGTATTCGGAAATTGTTATAGATAAAATAAGAATCCCAGATACACAAACTAAGAAATCCATCCAAACGCATTATACTGATGAACGTTATCCCGTCATCTCGAGCATCATCATTGATGTGCTTATGAATCTCGATGTAAAAATATCATCACTAATTACTGCGCTTAAGGCCAGCTAGCTTCTAACTAGATATAAATTTACGGACATCACAAGTTTTTTTTAACTAATAAGGCTTCGACAACAAGGTCATTAACCTGCGTTTAGTGTCTTATCAATACCTTTTTATAATTAGAACCATTAGCTATTAATTTTAATTTTAATTATAAAATTTATATGAGCCTCCCTTAAAAAAATATCGAAAATTCACCCCTGTTAATATATTGACATATTGTACAAACATGTTTAATTCTTCGAATTTTTTAAATATTACAATACTTAATAACACTCATTGAAAATTGCTTTTTATTCTTTGAAAATTCTTAGATCGGTCACATTAATTCTTATTCTTTCGTCGTAATAATAGCTGTAGTCAGTGTTGGGACKCCGAACCGTCCACACGTTAATTCCGCGTCACGTTTTATAGCTTTCGATAGCAGTACGAAACGTTTACGCTGCGCTGCTCTTATCTGGTATGTATAGTATCATTTTAATTGGGTCCATAGTACGCTAACACAAACCACTAGCTAGCAATCGCCGCACACGGGCGAAAGCCCGTTAAACTTATATATTCCAAAAATGGATCCAAACTCCAAAGCAYCTATAACTAACAATGGTAATCCAGCTAAATTAATTAAACAAAAAGTCCCGCCTCTCGTCATAAAGAAAAATAGACTTCTATCATATCATGACGACTCTAACTCTCCATCACCAAATTCCGACGACGAATTTAGATCGCCAAGAAAAACTGCCAGGGCACGCGACTTTTCA